CAAAAATCAATATCAGCGGGAAACTGCTGAGAAAATCTTTGAAATCTTGTTAAATCGTTTTGGCTCAGGGGTGCAGGGACACCAAGCAATGATGCGCTTCGAGAAAAGGAGGCAACGAGTAGATGAGACGATAGACAAGTTTCTCGATGACTTGAAAATGCTGAGAAGACGCAGCCAACCGGATGAGTCAAACCGAAGGATGAACCTGGCCGTAGCCTCAAAATTCATCGATCGTGTGAAGAATGATGAACTTCGTACGATGCTAGCAACGCATTACACACCACTATCAACAAATGCGCCAACACCAGAGGAGTTGAGGCTCAAGTCAAAAGAATATCTTTTATTGAAACCTCCATCGAGATCTGGACATTACAAGAACAATTATGGCAATTTTAACAGCGGACCGGCAAACCAAGGGAACAACTGGTATAAACCGAGGGACGGTTTGGACAAGAGGCGCTCTTGTGCAAGTTGCAGTTCGATGGACCATCATATGTCACCATGCCCAACTTACAACCAGGGCATGAAAGCAATAGGCTTAAGCCTGGAGGATGAAGATGCGTCAGAAGTTGACCATGAAGACTTCATGAGAGGAGTAATTGCAAAATTTGGCCCGAGGTGCTTCTTTTGCAACTTGGAAGGTCATTTTAAATCGGATTGTCCGCAATTCTGGGATGCTGTAGCAGAAATCAAGCATCCAAGACACGAGGAAGCTTTATTGGGAGTGAAAGCCAGCACGCCTCGCCTTTTGAGTGAAGCGGAGGCGCGCAGAAAAGAAAAACCGCAAAAGCTGGCAACGAAGAAAATGCAGGCGGTAACAGAAGAGACATGTAAACCGGAACACTTGGGAAAGATCGGGATTCACGAGGGAAGTTCTAATTCCGACGAATCTCCGACTGGCTGCAGCCAATCGAGGAGCGATTTACGTAGCCGGAAAAACACCAATAACGGTCCTCCACATGGGAGGAAGGGATCTTTGGATGAGCTTCCTGGTAGTAGAGAATTTGGACGACGCTGACCAGTTAATCTTGGGCAGAGATTTTGTCAGGAATTTTGACGTGATGATTGACTTGAACAACAGTCTAATAAGGATTAGGAACCCGGTATCGGAAGTATGTTAAGAAACCAATTATTAGAATAATAACAGACGAAAACAAGATACCAATTTTGTTAGACAGAAAAAAAAACTACAGCCTGGACAAGCAGTAGTAGCAGTTTTTAGAATGAGAAATTTAAATTCGTTAAGTGATAGTAAACAGGTTTGTTTGGTACCGAATCCAAATAGTCAAATTTCAGGGATTTTAGGCAGTCGAAACGGACTGTGTGTCAGTGTGTTATTGAACACACTGGACACCACGGTTTCAATCCAGCGCGGAAAGAAACTTGGTTACGCTTTGCAGATGAGGACCGACTATGAGGAGACACAAAATTTGAAGAAACATATTGTGAAAGACTGTCCTTATCATGCCAATAAAGATAAAATTTTAAAAAGGGCTTCACAAGGGAAGTTCTAATTCCGACGAATCTCCGACTGGCTGCAGCCAATCGAGGAGCGATTTACGTAGCCGGAAGTATGTTAAGAAGTATGTTTCGCCCAAATAAATTAAATTCTATTCATAAATTGTTTTCAATGAAGTTCAAAACGGACGACGGCTTATCAAGCTGCTCGAATTTTCCGGAACGCCCCTCGTCATATGAACTAGAGTCTGACAAACCGGTTTTGCCAGAGATAGGACACTTATTAGGGAAAAAGTCGAGGGAGATTTTGAATCACTTCGGGAGGTTTTAAATCGGAATGCGGATGTATTTTCAAGACATAAGGCGGATATCGGTTACTGTAACTTCGTCGAACACGAAATCGAACTTGAGGAAGGCGCCGTTCCCCATAGGGAAGGCGCCAGACGAATGACGCCACATAAATCGGAAGCGTGCCGAGCGGAAATAGAAATGTTGCTCGAATACGACATGATAGAACCCTCGATATTGCCATGGGCTTGCCAGGTAGTAATGGCGAAAAAGAAAGGGGGCAGCTTAGGTTTTGTTGCGACTTTCGCTACTTGAACGCGGAGACAAAAAAAGATGCGTACCCAATACCGCGAAAAGACGAGAGCCTCTCTAAACTTGGTGATGCCAAGCTCTTTACCACATTGGACTTGGGTTCTGCCTTCTGGCAGGTCCCTTTGCGTAAGAAGGATAGATAAAAGACCGGGTTCGCGTGTGAATTGGTGTTGTACCAGTGGAAGAGGATGCCCTTCGGCTTGTGCAACGCAACGGCCTTTATTCAAAGACTGATGGCTCAGGCTTTGACCAGAGTGACAAAGAAGTACGGGAATTTTGGGATGTGTTACGTGGATGACGTAGTCATAGCAACACCGACCCTGGAAGATCACATTGATCGACTCGACGAGGTATTTGGATGCATGAAAAGAGCAGGTTTGAAATGCAAACCATCGAAATGTGAAATCCTTAGGTTTTCGATCAAGTACCTAGGAAGAATGGTGGACAGGCATGGTGTGAGGCCGGACCCGGAAGCAGAAGAAGCTTTTTTGACATGGAAGGCTCCAAGAACGGGCATCAAGCTCATGAGCTTCCTAGGGTTTGCCAACTATTACCGTGAGTTCATAAATGTATATACAGACAAGGTGTATCTGATGCAGAAGCTGATGCGCAACAAAGGAAAGAAGTTCGAATGGAGCTATGAAGCTCAAACGGCCTTTGAGAACATAAAACGGGAACTGTGCGAAGCGCCAGTGCTAGGCATGCCTACTGAAAAGGGCATGTATGTTCTTGACACAGACGCATCAGTAGTAGCCATCTCGGGAATACTGCATCAGGAGCAGGAATGGAATGGGAGAACTGTTCTCCGTCCCATTGCATATGGCAGTAAGGTGTAAAGTGACACTGAGATGAAATATGGTGCACCGAAAGCAGAAATTTAGCGGTGCACCAAAAGCAGAAAAGTGCTCCTTTTAAGTTACGCGTGGACAACAGGGCGTTATCCTGGTTGAAGACATACTCGATGGATCAGAGTTATATAGGAAGATGGACAGTGAGATTAGATGGCTACCACAGGATAATCGAGCACAGGATGCGTGACAAACACCAGAATGCTGACAGCCTCAGCAAGAAAACCGAGTTCTATGAAAGATTGGAACAGAAGCAAGCCAATCAGGCAGAAATAAAGGAAGGATTCTCGTTGCTGGACAGAGAAACTTATGAAGCGCTTCCCTTAAAGAGATGGTTGGACAAGTCTGGACATCCAATTCCAGAACATCCTGAGTTACCTGTAGAGAAAGCAGCCGAGATAAAATCCTATCCAAGAAGGACCTGGTGCCCTTGGATCTGTTGCTGCGCTCGAACCTGGTCCAACAGGAACTCTCTCGCATGAACATTAACAGATCTCTCATTATTGGATAAGACGGTGCAGGTCACACCGCAAGTGATGCGGATGCTGGGTGGATTGTTAGAGAGAGAAGTGACCAGAGATGAACCCGAGTGGGCAGCAGCTATGGCATCACTGACAGTCAGTGAGAAGGTGAAGATCATGCCGCCCAGACGACAACACAAAGAAAACGAGAGGGATTGTAGGACAATAGTTCAGCAACTAGTATCCTCAATACCCCCACGAGGTTTTAACCAGTACTTCATACGGTCGGAAAGAACAGGGGAACGATACGCAAAAGAAAACCGTTACCTCTGAGGACCAGGACAAAGAGAGTGAGATGGTTGAACGAAACCTGGTGCAATATTGTTTGCCCGGGGAGACGAACGGCGAGGAGAGTCGGCGAGTACAAGATCAACACCCGGGACAAAGAAGTTTGCCCGGGGAGTCTGACGAAGATGAAAAGGTTCCTGATGAGAAGCAGGAACTGGAGAATAAAGTTTTGTCCGGGGAGTTCAGATGGATGCGAAGAAAGCACAGAATTGACCCAGGAGACGGTGCAGACTCCGTCACAGACTCTTCAACAGATGACAGTTCCCGAAACTCAGGAATTGACACATACTCAGACAGGAACTCGAGCTCGGGATCGGAACTGTCAGAACTAGCAATCCACACACTACTAGTGGAAAATCGAGCAAGGGATCTGGATAGAGAGGTATACCAGGACCCTGACAGTGATCGCTACCTCATACCAGGTGAAAGAGTCTTTGATAACGCAGCGGATGATCTAGAAACAATAGCGGTATCGAAACGTTCGATGAGTCTGTTGCCACAAAAAGAGGTGGTCAGGACTGATCTTCAGCCATTCGAACAGGAAACACAGCCATTGGCAAAGATTTGGTGCGTTAAGATGGAAGAAGATACGCATCAGCGCAATGAGCTGAATAGTCAGATGAGGGTCATGAAGACGTACTTGAAGGCGAGATACAGAATCTCGAATCTACTAAGAGCGCAGAGAAATGACCGCATGACAAGCAACCTGAAAAGGTGGATCGAAAATGGTTCTCCGGACAAAGGAGACCTCGAGGAAGACAGTTACCGCATTTTGTGACAGTATTTTATGCAGAAAGAGGGAAGGTTATACTTGAACATGGACGGGATTGTGGCTTGCAAGAGAAAAGATGAAGACAAAGTTCTATACAAGTATAACGCGATAGTGTTGCCGCAACTCTATCAAACAGAACTCTTATTCAGGTCGCATGATCAGATGGGCCATCAGGGGATCGACAAAGTATATCAGAGGATCCTGAAGCGCTTTGAGTGGCCTGGAATGAAAAAGGCATGCGAGAAGGGGGTAACAGCATGCCTGTCATGCCAACAGGTCAAGGATCCAAGGAAGTTGCGATTTCCTTTACAATCGATCGAGTCGTCTGAATTCAACGAGGTGGTGCAGATAGATCACCAAAAGATTTGCATGACAGACAGTAGTTATAACCAAGTCTTGGTCATGATAGATCACTTCACGAAGTATGTAAAGGCCGTGCCCTGCATAACTGCCTCAGCGGAAGAGACGTGCGACCACCTGATCAATACGTGGATAGCGAGAAATGGTTATCCGATGACGTTTCAATCGGTGAACGGAACAGCTTTCGTGGGAGAACTTACAAAAGAGCGAATGCGACGTTCGCAGGTGGCTCAGTCTCACTCCACGACATACCATCCTCGGACGAATGGCTTAGTGGAAAGGCATAATAGAAAGGTAGTGTCCATGCTGAGGGTATATTGTTCCAGGTACATGACCGATTGGGACAGATATCCTCCACAGGTGATGGGAGCTTACAATAGCAAGCATTATTCCACCACCGGAGATAGCCCACATATGATGCTAACCGGGCACGAGAAGTCTTTGCCCTTGAATTTCTTCTACCCAGAGTATGAGGGTAAGAAGACGTCATCACAGGTCTATGTAAGGGATGTAATAAGACGTCAGCAGGAGTTAAACGACTTATGTAGACAAAATCCTCAGCAGGCACGGGCAAGGCAGAGGAAGAGATTTGACAAGAAAGCAGCTGGTGCAAAAGCTTATTCGGGGAGGGTTCTCATGCTTGAAGGACCGAATGCTTGAAAAGTTTCGACCAATCAAAATCGCTTAGCGTTCCTATAGGCTAAATGCCTTTCTCACAAAATCGAAGTCAATATTAACTTGAAAATGCTTTAAATCAGTGGAAAATAATCAAAAATATTACAATTTGCGGGCTACAACCGCAATACTGTTCAGATAAACGTCAAGATTTATGAGTTCAAGTTCATAAGAATTTTCAGTCTTAAAAACTCATCTGCTTATTATCTATTCGGTCAGTATTAACACTAATCGCCTGGATTTATTTCCTAACTTTGAGACTTTCACGATTTACTTTGAGATTTTGAATACTCAATTCTGAATTGGCTGAAAGTAAGCTAAAATAAATTTCAAGCATTCGGTCCTTCAAGCATGAGGGACGCCACCGCTTATTCGGTAGGGGACTATTTATGGGTATTTCAGAACGTCATACCACCAAAAGGAACGAAAAAGCTCCTAAGAAGTGGAGGGGACCCTTCATGATTACGGAGGTGCACCAGGAGGGACGCTTCTATAGACTGAGTACTGGCCGATCCGCTCATTAGGAAAACATTAAGCCACACAATCCATCGACAGAAGACTGGTGTATACCTGCAAACATGGAAGAGGGGGATTATCTAATGATGGACCCTGCTTGTGAGGTCAACGAGAAGGGCACCAGGGAAAAGAACGATGGAAATGTAGTCATAGAGGAAGGAACAAGTACACCACTAGACCTGGATCCAAATGAGGCGATTGAAGCGGATGATGAAACTTTACCCTACTCAGAAGACGACTGGCAAGACCCTGTACAAAGGGAGAACTTGGAACCGGATCTTCCGTTCACGATACAGACTCGACAGAACGACAGGACAAGACCCAGAAAAAATTATAACCCTTACGGCGACAATTTTGTAGTGGACAGGATAGACCTAAAGAAAATAGTGAAAGAAGTAGTGAGACTAGAAGAAATAACTGTGTCACCAGACATTGACATAACCGATGATCACGACGAGGAGTTGGTCGATGACTGGTCCAAGTCCGAGGTAGAATTCGACGACGAGCAACAGCAGTCATATGAACATGACTTGACGAATTTGCGTGTCTTGGAATGGCTGACATCAAAATGACAACAAAATGACGTCAGACCCATTGGAGACCAGTGTCACGATTCAAGATGTAGATCGTGAAAGCATGAAATACATGAAAACCGAACGAGAGGATCCTTCCTGGGCTGCCCAAGAAGGGCAACTACTCATTCCGGCTTCCAACATTGACTTGATATCCGGTATGCGATCGACGGGGACGTCGATGGATATTTTTATTCGGGGAGTGGGGGTAGGACTTACCCACACTGAAAACTTATTAATAAAAAAATTAAGACTAGCAAAAGAGACAGGAGATTTAGAAGCGGAAACAGGCGAGGACCCTAAGCAACCGGACATAGGGAGGGTAGTTGAGTCATATTTTAACTTACCAAATGAATATTCAAGTAGCATAATACTAACAAACAGCGATTTCATACTCACAAATAGAACATGTGCGTTAGCAATCACAGCAGATATGAGTTGTAAGACAGCGTTAGCAGCAGATTTTAAGAGAGAATATAAGATCATAGAATTCCTTTGGAAGCAAAGACCAGGAATAGGGGGCGTAGCAGCCTTGCCTCCGGCGGCGTCACAGATACCCGGAACATACTTATGTTTCTTAGTGACACGGGCGACGGAGAAGCGGCCCGTGGACCCGGAAAACCTAGATTTGTCCTTGACGAGGTTGAGAGACTTCCTTGTGGAATGGGAAATGAAGGAGCTCTCGCTTCCAGTGTACGATCCGAACAGAGGACGACTGCATCCTCGGAAACTGTACGCGCTCATACACGTAGTCTTCTCTGATACTAATATACAAGTATACTTACATAAGAAACATTACTTAAGTATAGGCTGAGTTAAGGTGACATACAAGAGGGTGTCAGACTAAAGTATGTGTAGTGTGTGATATGTGTGTTATGTTATGTTATGTGTTATGTTATTAGGGTCCTGGGTAAGAAGGAGTTAGTGACCACGAACAACTGAATGACAATCTTAGGAATAGATCCAAAGTTTGGAGTGTTCAATCTTAGGTCGAATTCCAAAATTTTAGAGACCGATTGGTTTTATAAATTTTAGGATCAAAATGTTTTTATCTGACTGTTTTAAATAAATTTTAACGAGAAGTTAAGGTAAAACGGACAAGTGTGATATTCGTGACCTCTTTTCTAGATCCTGATTGATCGTTTAATTACTCACTTGAGTCAAATCATTAAATCAAATCGAATCGAACCTGAAAAGAGAATGGATAGCTTCAACTTGGATGAATTGATGGACCGGGCAGATGCATATGTAGGACCGATGGTAGATGCGATCTATCATCGGCTAATGGATCGAGACTTCGCTCTGGAGGCCCAGAGGTAGTCATGTTGCTGACCGCCCTGATAAACATCTTGGGGCATGACAACCGTGGGGACCGCCCACGGAAGTCCTATTGATGGCAGCATACAGGGAGCACTAGACCGCCCGAACATGAGAGTGATGAGGTGAGGAAACGGAACTCTCTCAGGTGGTGACTTGACGAACGAGCCTAGATTGGGAAGTTCTAGGACTTACCAACCAGGTGAGATGCCTTTGCTCTCCAAGCCCAAGCCGGGGCTGAGGAGAATGCATCAAGAGATGAACAGCGAGACTGCCTCCTCTAGTTCAACACTGAAAACAGCTGTGCCACCAAGGAGAGCGAGACTAGAACAGGGGGTTCAAACAAACCAGACCATGCAAGATCTAGATGGGATGAAAGATGAGCTGGATAGGAGCAGAAAGGAGCTGGATGAAATGACTAAGACCATGCTCACTACGGAGGAAGACAGAGACATGTGGAAGAGATTGTTTGAAGACTGCAACAAAAAGGAGGGTTAAGAAAATGAACGCTTGAGGCGGGACTACAAGAAGCGATCGGAGGAGCGGGTGGCATTGACAACAGCCGTGGAAAAAGTGATACCTGCAAGGAGTATTCCTCGTGGGCAGTCCCCGATGGAGCTCTTGACGCCTCGAGAAATGAGTCAAACGACAGAAACGCGACTCTCAACTGTTACTGGTCGAGTGACAATCCCGGACCCGAGTGATACCTTAGATGACCCAGTCGTGGAGCAGACGATGAGGAAGCTGATAGAGACGGCTCGACGACTAGTGGCTAACAGTAATGCGCCAGGTTCCGGGGTGACTGCAACCTTTGGAACGGTCGACGATACGGACAGAGTAAAGCTCTCCCAAGACGTAATGACCAAAAGAGGAGTTAGCGATACAACATTACCAATGGGGAGCTCAAAAGTCCCAGACAGGAAGATACGAAAGATGCCGGCGAAGAAAGTGTCCCGGGTGATAGATGTACAAAAGAATAATCAGTTGAAGTATATTTTCACAGGAGTTCCGGAGGCGGATCCGAGAGCTTGCTTCAATCGAGCGACCTGGAACCCGGCAGTAAACCTGCAGCAACCACCACTGGGGACATCACATCTGATACTGGGAGACAGCTTGTTCAGACAGCTCTCAAACTTGAGGACCTCCTGGATGACCACGGTGATGGCTTTCGGAGGCGGGACGATAGCCCAGTTATTTCGGATGGTGGAGTTGATGAACCCAGGGAGAATCCCTAATGAAACGATCCAGGTTGGGACAAATAACATCTCGAGAAGCCGAGAAGCTCAGATGAGGAAGAAGCACTATGGGAATCAATGATGGTGTGCTTGTTTACTACCCTCTGGCAGAAGTTCAACTGCTCGGTACTGCCCGTTTGCACTGTGCCAATGAACACGAGGACATTGACTGCAGCAGGGAGAAGGCACGACGAAGGAGTAATCAGGTGGAACAACTTCCTAAGGAATCTTGCAAGTCAGAATGCCGGAAAGATGATCATTATGCACATCGAACATGATCTGAGGGCTATGGATCAAGCCAGGCTGACTACTGACGGCATCCACTTTGATAGCATAGAAGGACAGGCTTGGTTGAACACAGTCCTCCAAGAGCAATTGGATGAATTGGAAGTAGAACTTTTCGACACGGGAGTGCTGAAGGAAGAGGAAGCATCCAAAGAACCGACAATTACCACCATTGTGCCTCCTAACCTGGAAACACGCTTGGGAGCGGTCCCAGCCGTGACCATCTATAAGCCGCAAAGATCCAGCGAACCCGGGCACAGAACGGATGTACGAGATCGATTGGGAGAAGCGCCCATGAGGAGGACCATTAATCCTAGACGAAGATTAGGGCCTGTCAACTCGACAGCGGAAACGATCAGCACCTCTAGATCGGATACGACATCTGAGACGACGAGCACCAGTCGAGAGGAGCGACGTCCGAACAGGAGCTCTCTAATGTGGTCGAGGCCAATACCTTCTCCCTGGCACATATACAAGGATGAACTGATGAAACTGAACCTTCAGAAGGTGAGCTTCGCAGCGGATGCCATGCGGATGCTGAACGGAGCAAGGTTATCGGTCAGCGGACTATACTCGATAACAGGCGTGGATTGGTTGATAGCTGCTGGCATAAACTTCAGCTTCACGATGGCTTTGAGGTTTGCTGATCTAGAGGGACTGCCCTCTAATAACACAATGGGCCCAGTGAATGCAAGACCGTTGCAAGACGTGAAATTGAATCACGATGAAGGAAATCGGGAAGAGAGACCTGGAAGATTCCTGATAACGAGGGCCCCCATTGGACAACATGTGAAGATGTTCAGACAGCTGAAAACACCCCCAGGTCATGTGAAAGAAAGAGTATACCCAAAACAAATGAATCAGGAAGGTGATGTCTAAAGATACGGCGGGTTGAAAGCGATAAACAAAGATGAGACCATCTTTGCCGCGTACGACAAGGCAGAAATGAGGAAGGCCAAGATTATGATAGTAGCGAATTCAGACTTCGTACACACTTCCAAGTCTCTGTTTTGGCCGGATGTTATAATGTTGGCAGCGGTCGATCTGGACCTAATGCAATCCGTTTCAATGGCGATCGGGGTACAAAGACAGACAGAGATGAAGCCAATTACAATTGTGTTTCCTGGCATCAATGACCATTTACACAGTAGGGGTTTCCTGAGCAGACTCAGAGAGCCTACGACGGCAGAAAGCGCTGTATGGCCAGCGATAAAAGATATCCTCGAGTCAATGGGTGAAGTAGTGGATACCCTGAAAGAGGGCTCCTTCACCAAGATGACACCGAGAGCCGTGTTCGCGCTGTCTCCGGGGTATGCACGTCTCCCGGATGGACTAAAGTTCGTGTATGCGATTGTGGCTTTGCTCTCGGAAAGGAAATCTGATGTAATCATATCGACACCAAATCGCGAGATAGAGATGGAGAATCTGAAACCACTCAGGGCCAAACTACCGGCGGTGTGGTTGGATATCTTGAACGCAATGAGAAGATTCAAGGACCACTCACTACACATGCTAGTGTTGGACGAGGTGCTGGGGTTGGAACTGTCCATCTTCAGTCGACAGCTCAAGTTGAAGCCAGGAATAGATGACGACCATCGAGTAATTGTGGCAATGTCGAAAGGCTTATGGTTCCGAGGAATGGACATAAAGGAGGAAGGAGAGAAATGAAACAACTCCAAAGATACCAGAGCTAACTTGGAAGCGATGGTTTTGAGAACCAAGCCAGAAGCTGACCAGTGGCTACACCTAACTCCTCGAGTAGCGGCATTGGGTGCGGATGCTTTTGAGCAAGGCCCAGTGATGATCAGGAAAATCCATGCCTCCCTTGTGAAGGAGGTGAACCTGGCCGAAAATGCCGAGGAGAAGGCAGCCGAGTTGGTAAACAGAGTGTGCCAGGTTACCCTGGAAACTTTCTGAACTCAGAATGTGAAGGGAGAAGAAGGCTTTGAACGGACTGATAGCATGCTGGAAGGGCTGGGAGCCGGATGGACTGCGTCCTTCTTGGCAAAAGTCTACCCAAAACTCTCTCGATACTTGATAAAGGAATTCCTCCAAGCAGTAGTGGAAGTATCAATCATTGAACTACTAGCCTTGTTTGTGACGTTTGGAGCAGAAAACTTCGTGAAAGGACCGGTGGTACTGCTCACCGAAGGAGTTCAGAAC